CAGAGTCCCACTGCAGGCATTGGAAATACTTTTTTTGCAGTGGGAAAACAACTCAGGAAAGGAGAATAATCAGCATCAAGGAAAATACAATTGAAAGTACTTAATGAAAGGATTTCATTCTTACAAATAAATTGCAGTCATATTCACTGTAAGAGTTCCTATTCTCCAAATTAAAAAGAATCTTTATTTTGCAGTTAACACAAGCAAAACTGGATATATACTCCTCCTTAGAAAAATACTCTCCCTGTTGAAGACAGTGCTGATTGCACGTTGGTTTTGTCCCAGTTTGTTCTGAAAAATAAGCTAGAATACAGATCCATTTCTGAGCAAGGTATGAAGTCCAACTTGTGGCATCGGGTAGAAAGATACAGCACTATCTCTTTAAATATTTAGTTTCCTTTCTAAAATTATTACTGGAATATCAAAAAGAACCCTGTGACACCTCCAGTGAAAATTCTCTCATATGAGAATCCCAATTTTAACAACAGAGATCTCAGGAACTACTTCTCTCACTTAATGAGCCTTGGCAGCCATTCAAATTAAACACTCTATTGTGCAAGGAGCTAATTATGCTGAGATTAAACCCAGAGAATGATAGGGACATTTACTGTACTTCTGGCAATTATAAGAGCTCTCAGTATTGGAGAATACAGCTTGTATTTCATAATTCTGAAAGATGTCCCTGCTAATCCAATAAAAAAATGCATGTGCATGCTCACACATACAAGATTAATTAAATTTTTAAAACATTTTTCAACTATTTCTGACACACATTCACAAATTATTATTATTTGTTTTGCCTTATTTTTCCCATATCTGAATGTTCATCCTGTCTCCCATATATCCATTTGTCATAATCCTCCACCATTTCTCTGATAGGCAATTAATGTTATCTCTTTCCCTAGGAACCCTGAAGAAATGACAGTAAAATATTTGCTCATTTAGTATTCTAATTAATTTTTCCAGCATCTTCCCTGATAGTGCCCTTTTCTTCCCCAGAAAACCCAATGGTCAGTTATGTCTGTCACTGCTACCCAAAGACAATCCTTGTAAATAGAGGGAGTTTTCCTTACTTGGCAGATGCAGGCAGGAACACTGCTGAAATTTCATGAGTAAAACTCATCACACGATGATTTCCCACTTCTTCTCCACTAATGTCTACTTGGAAGAGGTTTGATCATGCAACATAAAAACCCTCTAAATCCCCAGAAGGGCCCGGGGAGAGCAAAGACAAGTGATCAGACTCTTCTGCAGCAAAATGTGTTCAACATCTCACAGGAGCACCCTCTTGCACACATGATGGGAAGCTGGGTAGCAAAGTAATGAAACTTGGATTTGCAATGGATTTTGCATCTTGTGGTTATCCCTACCAGCATCTATCAGTGTGTGTAATGTGATTTAAGGTTCCTCCATTCCACAGTCCAGGCACTCACAGCAGTTCCTTCCCCAGGGATTTGCTGGTGTCTAATGAAAGCACAGCCCCTGCAGCACCACCCTTCTGAGGCAGAGGCATCAACAGAGCTGAGCTTCTCTACCCTGCCTTTGCTTCTCATGAAATTTGTCAAAATGCAATGTACTGAACACTCCTAACCCTGCTTTTCCCATCCCAAGACATTCAGGAGCCATTCCAGCAGGTGCAGAATTTTGTGAGGATAGACAGGTGGAGAGAATCATCAGCCTGAGCAATTAAGCAACCTGATCCTGCTTCAGGTTGTAAATTGGCCAAAAGCAGCTTTTGAAGTTTTCAGCCAAACTGGATCACCTAGCAGAAGGAAAGTAATCTTTATCACCTTGAGGAAAACTCTCCAGAAGCTGTGAGGCAAAGCCCTTGTTCCCATGGGCAGCCTTCACACACAAATTCTGCATTATTTAATTTTCATATTCTCTGTCAACATATTGTTTTGCTTGAAATGGAAAATGTGGAAGGTCTGACCTCTCTGGGGCTGATGGGTGTGAATCAGGGCAGGAATGAGCTGTATCTGCAAGTAATGATTACTGAAACAAGTCTCTAGAGGAAAGGAGGCAAAGCATGCTCGGTATTATTAAATGTAGCTCACCGTAAAACAAGATAAATCAGAAAGAATTACAGGTAATCATCTGTATGTTGCCATTGGTCAATCAACAAACTGCATTTAAGAATCTGTGATAAAGTGATTTCCTAATTAACTGCTCATCACAAGCATCTTTGGAGAGAATAGAGGGGCTGAGCTAATTGTAGCAGTAAAACCAGAAGATAAACGAATTATAAGTTTCTTTAAACAAACAGAAGAAAGTGGTAGCAGAGCAATGCACAGAAGGAATCCCTTCCTAAACTTGCACTTTGCTCTGTTCTTTCTGTATTTTTGTTTCTGCTGCAAAGCAGGCACACACAACGCTGCCACTGAATGTCATCCCATTTGTGAGATACAGCCACGCTCAGCAGCATTCCCGAAGCAGTCTCTGCATTCCCCCATGGTGCTATTCTAACATTTCACATTAACTTCTGCTTTCCATCAACCACCTCCTGCATTTCTGATCACACCAGGTGCTGGGAACAGAGCAGGGACAGCCAGCCCCAGGCAGCACAACCCCAGGTGTGGTCCAACCTCCCCTTCCAGGCTGGCTCTGCTACAAGAGCATCACTAATTCCAGAACCAGCATTCAGCCTATTAAAATATGGGACAATCTCCTGTTTTAAACTTGTACCTTTTACATTCTGGAACAGCCACATCCAAGCAGGTGCAAAGGCTTTGCAGATGCCCCTCCTGCTCCAGCAGCCCTCCCAGAATGTGCATTTCAGACCCCTTGGCTCCTCTTACAAACCTGATCTTATCAATATCACCAGGAAAACTCTGGCCACAAATCTCTCTCAGCTGAATATACAGGTTTTGCTAATTTCTCCCCACTAAGGTTTTAAACAATTGCTTTTAAAATAAATGAAAAATGCGGAACTTGATGAAGACAAGAAGTATCTCAACAGGTCGGTTTCCCAAAATTTTTGTTATATTTTAGAAAAGGCAAAGATTGCATAACACCACCACTCTGGAAAACTTTCAATTATGTAGTCAAAAGCCTTCAAAAAAGTAATGAATTTAGTGAATTAAAAATGTATCTCACTCTTTACATGTCACCAGTCCCAACAGTTGTTTTTCCTACCAGGATGCAGCATCTGTGTTTGAAAACCCTTATGCAACTTCTGAATTTTTCCATCTTGCTCCAGCAAGCTGACATAATCTAGCAACAGAGTCTTCTGTGTCCCTGTGCACATACTGGCAGTGAAGTGTGAATGCTACATGGGAATTGCTTAAAATATTTCTTTAATATTTTATCATAACTTTAGTCGATGTTCATTTGTGTTCCCTCCAATCTCAGGTGCTGGCAGATGGAGTTTTTTCCTTTTTAAATAGCAGGAGATGGAATTTTCTGGTTTGTTTTCCCCTACAGCAGATGTATTCATATCTCAATATATTTCAGTAATTTTTCTATTCCTTACCTCTTCCTTGGAGATTGACTGCTTACTTGCACAGTGTTTTTTAGATAATGATGTTTTATTTTTTTCTCCTTGACAGGAGAGACAGGTTCTAACATTTTTTATTTAACTATTACATGTAATTTGATAATTCCTAGCAAGAGACAGGTAATTCTCCTTATAAGTATGTGGACTGTCAAATTTTATTTTTTAAAAAGTCAAATACATTAGGGAAAAAAAGCCCCCAAATTTAGGGGAAGAACCAATGTTCTATCAAGGCCATACGCCAATAAAACTCATCTCCATTTATTCTCCAGTCTGCTGCAACTGAAGCACAGTTTCTCAGATTAATAGATCCAGTATCACTATTTAATCCTCTCCTCAGTGACAGGATATAATGATCTGATGAACATTCTACTTAATGGACTACCTGAAAGTGTTCAAAAACCATAGTGATGAGCACAGGCTAGAAAACTATAGAAATTATCCTAGAATAGAATGAGAACTGAGAAATAAATCAGCCTGTAAGGGACAAGATTTATTCAGGGATGTATGGAGCCTTTTCTTTCCCTTAAGCATTTCCATTTTTAATTCCTTTATTAATATTTTTATTGTTTCCCCAGCTCCATGTGAATGCACTGGAATCATACAAGGTCTAATCTAAATTATCTTGCAGACCAAGGTTGATAACCTCCCACAAATTACCATTAGCTCAGTAACTTGGCAGTTTGTGTATATAAATTACCAAAGATACATGGCGCCTCCCTGCTTCCGTATAAATATAATTTACCATGGATTTATTACTAATATTACAATACACACTCACCCTGAGGCAATTATTTATTTGTTTCTAATTTCAATAGGGCAGAAGTCAATTTGTCAGCCACACAGGCTCCTTGCTCAGTAGCTGCCCAGGAGGCTGAGAGCTCCTGGAACACATCCAGGATGTGCCAGCCCAGAGTGGCTGGGCAGAAATCTTCACCTGGCAGCCAGGGGAGCTCCCAACCTCCTGTCAGGTCAGCCTGAGCTCCTGCCAAGGACAAACATTAGCAAGGACTTCTTGGCATTCAAATACTGGAGAGATGACTATGCCTGTCCTGCACAGGGACTCAGACTATGCAACACTTGCAGTATCTCTGGAATTTATATGAATTGGAAGATTTTGGCATCCGGTCCCTTACACAACAACCCAGTTCTGTAGAATTTACTACACAACCACTCACAACCATCTAGTCCAGAATGCCAAGACTCCCCCCCAGAAGCTTTAAAAAGTGACACAGCTTGCTGCATATTTCACAATAAACACACTCAGATCTATGTGGATCGTGTCACCTATCTGCAAAAATAGAAAAGAAAAAGCCCCCACAAACATAAGTCAACCTCTTGGAATGACTGTGAAATGCCAACATAAACCAAACCTCCAAAACTTTACTGTTCTGCAAAGGGAAACATTGAATTACTAACGTCTTTACATCTCAGTCAAGTACCAAGTTTACTTTGTTTTTAATTACCGATCAAATTAAGACCATCAGGACTATTTTATTATACAAACACTGCAGAACTCTTTTAGGTTTTGGTTGTTTCTATACAAAATTATAAAAGGACATATAAAATAAGGTCTTTACATCCACACACTAATCAAAAGCAGAAGAGAATTTATGTAATAAACATTTTGTAAACAGCAGTTCACATAAAAAGCCATTTTTTTAACACATTCCTAATTAGATTGTCAGTATACATGCACACACACTCTGCTGTACAGAACTCCTATCCAAGGACTGTTGTGTCTTAGCTTCCAATTCAACCTCTTTTTAACCACATCCCATGTCTTGCCTACTCTCTTAATTTTAACCTCATCCTTTCCTGCTTAGTAGAATGCATTCAAAGACTCAGCATTTTAGCAGTTTGTTAATAGGAAAAAAACATTCTTTGCAATTTGTCTTTTTACTTTACTAATTAAAACATATAATTATACTAATTCACTTGCAAAATAAAAGGAAACCATAGTAGCTTTTTGCTTATTAGAAGTACCATAATCACTTCACTGCTTTGCTTAAAAAGTAATTTTGCTATAAATATCTGTGTTTAATTTGTTTTGTAGATATACAGCCAGTGATAAGCCACTCAAACATAGCCCTGGGTATAAGGTTATAAGAAAGCTACTGTCAATAAAATATCCATAATATGACTCAATATGCACAGTCATGCTATTTGCAAACGGACAGAGGGCAGAAATTAACCTGTACAGCTGTCCTGGCATACAATTCACCTATGAGTAACAGCAAGTGCATGATGTTGAGCAGGGGTGTGACTACACACCACTCCTCACGTGTTCAGTGCCTGTGGTACAGCTGAAGTTGCAGCCACAGAGATGTGTCCTAATGCAGAAAGAGCAGATACATTATCATGAAAATGTTTAGAGACATGAGCACTGCTTTTTGTCAGCTCATACATTTTGACAAGTGACAATAATGATAACCCCAAGTTTTATTTCCAATAACAGATGCAGCCTGAGGGTAACAGTACAAGTTGTGTCTTATGTCTTTCTATCCCCTTCACCAGTCTCCACACTGATCTCCATCTGCTTGGCCTTCCTTTAAGGCTCTCTTTAGATTTTAATTTGTTCCTTTCAGTCAAGCTTCTGACCAGCTGGTAAGCAGAGAATGAAAATTCCAGATGCTACTATTGTGTCAGGACCTAACATTCATTCCCATCAGGCAGACAGCTCAGGTGTCCAGGTTGGTTCATAAGGAGGCTCATTATCTCAGGGGATGCACAAATGATCCTGAACAGCAACTCACTCCCTAAGCCTGAAAGGTGCTGGGAAGGGACTCTCAGCTCTGCTGCTCATGAAATAGCTCACATTGTACATGCAAGGTCACTTTGCAAACAGCCATCCTCTAGTGCATCCAGCAGCAAAAGGAGAATCCAGAGCCCTGACACTGCTGCTCCTGGAGAGACATCAGAACTTGGCAACATGAGAAATGCTCAGGCCAATCGTCCAAATTTTGCATATTTTTTGTTTGGGAGACTTTAGCATGTTGGTTTTCCTTCCTCCTCTCATGAATCAGGAGGCCTGAGGTGTTTCCTGCCTCAAGAGTTGTGCTCATGAGAAGTTATTGCCTGCTCCTTTGGAAAGGGGGCTAAAACACCACCCTGTTTCACACAAGTCAGTGAAAACATCTGAACAGCAGAGCTAATGCCAAAGCTAAAATTAAACCAGTGAAAAAAAGACAAGAAATATGTGACTCCCAGACATAGAAAAAAAACAAACCCAAGCAACCCTATCATTATAGCCTACTGTGGGATCATGTTTCATTCTGAAAGTTTGAAAACATCAATACATAAAAAATTACATTAAGGTAACACATTTTATACAACTCACATTTCCCATCTCATAAAGAACAACAATCTCTGCCACAAATTCCTTTTGATCAAATAACAATGGCTTCAACAGAAACAGCTTCCAGGGATGTTTGTCCATACAATTAGAAGACCTATCTCAATTTTCAGTCAGCTGCATTAAATAACAGAAGTTGTGTCCCTGTTCAGCAATTTAATAACTCATATTATCTTCACAAAAATATTCTGAACAAAGGTTGCTAATCCATTTACCCACTCAGCAATATTTTATCTAATTGGTAACCCTGGTGGCTTTAGGTATGGTATGAGAGCATCCTTTGAAATCAGTTGCAGAGACATGGAGATAATTGGGATTGATTACAGGACTCAAAGCAGTAGGAACAAAGACTGACAAATTATAGTCTAAGAGACAGAATGGGAGCTTTTTTACACTAAACCGTCAAGTCACACAGAAATGGGAAAAACATATTCCAAATTGTCAAAAATCAGGATTTTGTTTAAGAAGCATTTTCTGTTGTACAACTGCATGACTGAGGTGCAGCAGTATCATTTTGTACCTCTATCAGGGATGCTATTTATTACATTTTATTGACTTGAATTTTATTTCTCTTTACTCACACTGACTTTAAGCACAGCCAAATCACTGCAATGAGAAAATAAAAGGATATGCTGCTCTAGGTGATTCTGCAGGGCATGGAGCTGGCCACTCTGAGCCAGACAAGCCATGCTCAATAGCCAAAGGTAATGAAATTCTGAGCAATTCAGAATTTAAGCAATTTTGAAGAGAGGGTGGGCCAAGGCAGACTCCTATATCTACTCTCTAATTTCAGTAATATTTTTAGAATAACAAACTACTCTGGAACATCAACCAGAGGATTTGTTCCACAGCATTAGATTTAAAATACATGCACAGGCCTTTCTCATCTCTCAAGAGTGAGCTAAGCTCAGTTTGACCCATGTTTGGTAAGGTGAAGAATGTACCTTGTCTGCCTCGATGAAAGGCAAGGATAATTATTTCTTACAAACACTGTTCTAACCATATTCCCAAGTACCTGCTCTTTTGTTAATCATTCCTGATCCCTTCTCAACTTCTTACACGAACAGGTTCAACTGTAGAGCAAGCACACAAAACCAAGCCACAAATAAGCAGAACAAAGAATAAATCCATCTCTAGCTTCAACAGTCATCCTCCAGAGCAACTGCAAAATTGTCTGTCAGTGGGATGCCAACACTCCTTCCACACAGGTACAATCTTCCTCCTGCCAAATTAAATTCTTGAGTAGTAACACTTCAGCCAAGCTGCAAAAAAGGAGGATATTCTGAATTATAAGAGATTTGCAGCAGTTTAACTACAGCAGGATGATTAAGACCAATAAACCTGCTGGCATTTTCTTCAATTTGCTTGGCAGCTCCTGTTGTGTCAGCCGTGCTACAGGAGTGACACATGATCACAGCAACCCAAAGACTAAGAGAGAAACTAGTTCCCAGGTTCCACCAGCAAACCTGGGAGAAATCCCTGTTTCCAAGGAGCGTTTCAGCAGAAACAAGGCAGAAATTTCAAGAAGGCACACGATCAGCTCAAGGATTTCTTGAGAGGAATAAGTCTATCAGCAGACATCACCCCTCCTCTCCCCCTCTCGGGCTGCTGAACTACTTTCCCTTCAAGAATCAAACAGCAGTGACCTGCTCATGGGTGTAGAGATCAAAGATATCAGACAATTCATCCACACTACATTGCATTGAACATGGCCTGAAATGAGAGTCTGGGAGAGGAAAAGTAACTTAGGCTTCCACTGCTGCATCAAACTCATGAGCTTTCTCCAGATTTGCAGCAGCATAACTACAAATGGAATGGGGCTGCTGCCTCTGGTTCCACAGACAGAGGAATGGTGTGGCAGGTACCAGGCCAGCTGCCACAGACCATACTTGTTAGGGACGGCTCCTTTTCTTCATAAACCCTGCGAACCAATTTCACCAGTCAGAAAATAATTATATGGTTTTGCATACTTCAAAAGCCTGTGGAAAAATTATACGTTGGCTGTCAATTTAGAATTTGGGTCTATTGTTTTACTTTATTTTGCTCAGAGTATAAAGCTATTACATGACTAAAATTAAATAAAACTGTTTCCTTGAGAGCTGTTAAAAATATTCTGATGTATTTGTCTTAAAGCTTCATTAATCCATTTCTAATTCATTCTGCAGGTTTACTTAACAGCTGGGCCTGATGTAAACTACAAATCTGGATAAAATTAAAGCTGCTATGCCACTAAATCAGTTTATTTTCAAAGACTTAACAAAAGTCTTCTGCTTCAGGTCACAATGGCTTACAGGTTTTTCTACCTATAGGGAAAAAAAGTAGCTTTGCTGTAAACATAAGAGCAAACAAATACAAATACTAGAGGTTAAGAGTGAAATTAATTTAGACATTAAGCATAGAAAGTATTCTGTCTTATGATCTACACTTTTTTTACATTAGAGATCAGTTTTCATTTTTAAGCTTCCATGTGCAGTATTGAAACAAATCTGGAACTACCACTTTATTGTTATTTATAGCATTGTAGCAGCTCACACATCCTGCAGTTTTTCTTAAAAGAGACTGGATTTCAGAGAACAGTGAAAAGCAGCCGTAACTAAGTATTGTTTATGTCAAAGATGATTTACTGTAACAAACACCAAGTCCTCTTTGTGTTTAAGCAAAAATATAATTAAGGAGCCTAGTTATATAACATCATGTAAATAAAAGGAAATGCTGCCTTCCCAGCATTTTTGGCGATTCCCAGCACTGCAGCACCCGCCACAGAAAATCACCCTGGGCTCAGCACTCCATGGTGTTCAAATCATGAGTCAAGGTGGTTCATTATGAATTGCATCCCTGCACCCTTCAGGCCTTGCTGTAGAATTACTGTATGGCAGAGCTCCGTTCCAATTTAGGAAATGTTACACTAATTGAGTATGCAGGCACACGCTCTCCCCATCTCTGATTAATTAGCACCACTCTAGCTCTTCACATCAATCTTGTGAAAACCACTGTGACTGATCTTGTCTCACTTGGAGCTGAAAATTACTTTGCCAATAGTATAACATAATACTTTGGTATAAACAACAACAAAAAATGGGACTCTTTGGTGGCCTCAGGATCATTCCTTTCATACTGTACATCTCTCTGGTGCTTTTGAAGACAAAGGACAGGACTTTATTACCAGCAGACAAATGCAAGTCAGAAAAATGAAGACAGCACCCTGGAAGCTCTGTATTTTTACAGCGGTGTCTCTATCAACAGCAATGTATTTTTTGCAACCCCTATACCACTTCTAAGGTCACTTTTGTCTCCACACCCTTCCTTGGGATGAGGAAAAGGCCCATTTAGGAAAACATTCAGGAGCTTCAGGCATTCCAGAGCAACTCCTGGAGGATCACTGCTAAGGCTGAGCTCAGCCAGACTACACAGCATGACCCAGGGCCACTCTGCTGTTCCTCCCCTTCTTAAACCTGGGAAAAGACTTTCCCTGCCTTGCCCAGCAGCCATTTCCAACGAGCGCAAAGGAACAACATGGATTGCAAGATGTTTTTTTCTCACATTGTCTTTTGCTACTGACGAGTCAAACAGTTAAGCCAAGAAATGTCAGCAATCCAGAGATGAAGGCTGATGATTTCGGGGCAGGAGTGAAGTTTTCAGGCAGAATGTCCCTGCTGGACCAGGCTGCTTTCATCACGAGTATCTCCACTCGCAGGCTCGCCCAAGGCTGCGCAGCTGGCTCCCTGCTCCCAGCCCCATTGTTTTACAGCTCTGCTTCCTCACACTTACCAGCCCGGATTTCACAGGCCATTCTGTCTGCCTCTGAATCCACTCACCAGTTTTAACCCAGGATTTACTAAGCTCCTCGAGCTTTACATTCCAGACAGAACTGTAGGGAAGGTTTTGCAGCAAATACCATTTTTTTTTTCCAGAGAGCTGCAGCCTGCCAGCTGAGTGTCCTTCTATTAGGGGCTTGTGCTCCAACATACAAAACAAGTCAAGGGAACTGAGATCTACCCCTGTTCTTCCACCACCACGTTTTAGCCAGAATTTCTGCCTGCCACCCTGCATGGGGAGATGGGGATGTGCAGCACAGCAGTCCTTGCTGGGTGACTCCTGTGCCTCCAAAACCTCTCCCTCCTCCCCTGAGTCCTGGTGGGAAGCTGCTCATGTTGAGGAGAGAAAGGATGTGCACTCTGCCCAAAGGGCTGCAAAAGCAAACAGAGCTCCCTCCCAAAGAGGCGTCAGGATCTCACTGAGGTTTGTCACTGTGATCCTATTTCTGCTTGTTTTGGCTGCCTCCCTTGCCCAGTGCTGCAAGAAAAAGCCCCACCTTCCATTTATAGCTGTAGAAACTGGGTGAGAAACAGATTTGCCACTAAGTTGAAACTGAAAAGATTTTAAAACCAGCCATTTCCAGAAGGTTTACAAAGGCTGAGATTTTGAAAGTGTCCCGAGGGAAGCAAAGAACCTCTCTGAAATTAATGGGAATTAAATGTCCAAAACCCACAGGCAATTCTGAAAATCCTATCAAAGTATCTAATACTTCTATCTGTCAAAGGCACTAACATTTAAAACAAAAGTGATTTTATCACCAGCTAAGAATCAGTTTTCAAGTGAAAGAATTGCAAAATATTAAACCAATTAGTCTGTTTGACAACTTGACATGATTCTTCCCAGATGATGAGAAAGCTGCAGCATGGCAGGAAATAGTAACATCATGACATAAAATAAGAGTAATTTCCAAGAACTCTCAGAAGTCTATAGGTCAGAGCTCAGACCTACACATGAAGAAACAAATATTTCTTTGTCTTTGGTGAGTATAATGTGGGTATTGACTACCTAGGCATCAGATTTATGATCCCCTTAACTATCTGTTAACCTGCTTTGAAGGCTTAGGGTTTATAAACTCCTGATAGCTAATCACTTTTTTTGTGCTTCTATCTTCTTGCTTTGTCACCTAAACCTTGTATATGCAATATGGATATTTGAACCTAGCATGTACTAACCTTTTCCAGAGCATTTTCTCATATTACTAGCTCCAGCAGATTACTCATTCGAGGCAGGGATACTTGTTCAGCTTGTGTAAGACAAAGCCATGCCAATGTGAATGGTAAAGGAAATTTAAATTTAAGCTTCATTTTACGTGGGGGGAAAAAAACCCCACCACATTTGAATGCTGTAAAAGGTCACATCAGTAAACAACAGGGATTCAGAGACACAACTGCTAAATGTTCCCTCTGCAATGCTAAAAGAAAAGGAAAAATGGTGACATTAAGAAATACATTTCCTGCTACTTCAGACAGTATGGTTAAATTCAACCTCACTTCCTTATTTGACCTATGAAATTAAGCTATGTGCCTCCCAACTCATACACACACGTTTTCATACAGTAAAGGTTTATATAAAAATGCCTCATTTGCTGTTAGGAGTGACTTGTCTTCAGTTGGTTTCATGGGGACATGAAACAGGGTCATCATCAGCCCAGCTCACCAATGAGGAAATGCCAAAGCAGCGTTTTACCACAATTCCCCAGACCTCTATTTTCAACTACTCTGACATTGTAAGAAAGAAGATTCAATTAAACAGATTCTTTAGGCTTACTCATCCAGCATTTTATGAACCATCTCACCTCTTATCAGGCTAAACCAGATATTTATTATAACAATAAGAGATTTCATACTAATGTTTCACATTCACTGAAGCTAGAGATATTAAACAAGATCATTTACTGCTGTCTGCTGCCATTTAAAAAACTGCATTCAGAAAATGTGAGGTGTTCAAAGGTTAATTTGGATTAATATCAATGGATTTTGCCAACTTCTCCCAGTCCTTGACTCCTGTGCTTCCTTGAGGACACAGGAGCCTTTCCAATTGATGTGGAACAGAGCTGGGATGTTCAGAGATAGGAATGCTTCTGCCTCACTCCATGCTCTGATGCTCTCATCCAACCCAGCCCACAAGCAGCTTCTAAATAGCACCTGAATTTTCAAGGCATTCAGGTATAATAAAGCAGAGTAGACTGCTGGATTTCTTGATAATCCCTCATCACCTGGATCAGTGCAGAGGGCTCAGTCCAGGCCCCATCCCACCTGCTCTGAGGGTTTAAATCACAGCCATTGCTCCCCCTCCCCTCACCAAAGGGGGTCACACAGCCTACAGCTCAGGCACTGGCTGTCACTGTTTGTCCCTGCAGAGGGGAGTCACAAGGAAAGTTTTGGGCACTCCCTTCACAGCTCCTGAAAATGAACCAGTGGCTGCACACAGAGACCTGCCCCAAGGCTGGCCTGTCTGCAGCTGCTGAACCTGAGCACAAGGCATGTGTCCTTCCTGCACAAAGGGTTAAAAACGCCTCAGTTTAGCCAGCAAGCAAAAACCAACACAGCAGACTTTCCTCTACATTTAGCCAGCAACCATCCCCAGGCACTAACACAGTACAACCAGGCACACGAGAAACACGTAAAGAAATATAAACTAAACTAAAATCTAACTCCAAATAGGGAATGAATAACTACACTAAATTTAATAAAGAATTTGTCTCCCCTTCTTTAGATAAGAGAAGACTAACACTATACAATGGGCCAGATAATGAGAAGGCCAGATGGCTGGATCTTGGAATTTGGGAAACAAGATATGGTAGAAGCACACAGAAAGTGAAGAGCAATAGTATTTTAAAACCATTTTGCTGCCGAAGACACATTTTAACATATTAAAAGCATATGCCTTTCCTTCCTAAAACAGCACCAGTTGCTAAGCCCCTGAATATAAATCATGTTGTCCAAGTTTTAAGTACTAGCTTGGCATCTATTGCTATAACATAGCAAGTATCATGCAATAAGAAGACACTATTTCCATGTAAACCAATGTTACATTTCTTTTCCTTCTGCTAAATCCACTTTTCTCCTATCAGACAAATCACACACTATCATTTGCCCCATTGTATCTTGGTCCCTAGCAGTGCTCCTGTTGGCACTGCAGTTACCCATAGGGAACATCACATTCTTTTTTCTCTGGCTGCTCAGCCATAGCTCTGCAAACAGGCTGATGTAGGAAGAATGTTCTTCACCAAAGTCAGTTTAAAAATAAGCTGCAGTTCAGTCCCAAAACACAGAACAAGTTTACAGTGGCATTAGCTGTGTATTTAGTAACAAAGAGATGGCGGTTTCTACATTGACACTTGAAATTAAGTGCAAGTTTCTTCCATGGGAAACGTTCTGGGTCAGGCTGCCTGTGTGGGAGTGCAAGGTCATCACCAGCAGCATTTCACAGCTCCCAGTGTGCACTAAAGTAATCATGACAGGGATGGACCAAACACTGTCCCTGCTCCCCACATCCCCACGCTCCAGCTGCTGCCCCAAGGACAGGGAGCCTGTTCCAGGAACAAAGGGCACTCTGCACACAGAGCAGGGTTTGCAGCTGTTTCCAGAGACAGCAAGTGTGGCTGGGGAGGAGGCTGGAGGAGAAAGGTGGGGCAGCACACAGGGTTTCTGCTTTGCAGGGAGATCTGCACAGCAGGGTACAGGAAAGAGCACACTTGGCTGCCCAGTGCATAAATTGCTTTGGTGGCTCCTGAAGTGCTTAAAGCGTGGAAGTGTCCTCAGACAGCAATGCAAATTACACTGGTATGCGAGGGCTGTCCCACTGTGGCAATTGCAGGAGAAATTCATGTTCAAAGCCTCTCTCTGAGCTAGTGAGCAGTGAAACGAATCTCACTCTTGCAGGGAATGGAAAGTGGAAAGCAGGCACTTATCTGGCTAAGAGGCTAATTCCACAGCACAGGAAACATAACGCAGATGTGGTAGCTTGGCATTAATATTATTAATGTACTGTGGCCTATATGGCTCCATTAGCACTGGGCTTCCTTGGGCCAGGCTCTCCCCAGGCACACGAGGGGAAAGCTCTGGCCCAGCAGTGAGCTCTGCAGAAGGGATGCAAGGCATCACTCCTGTACTCAGTGCTGCTGCCTTTTAGAAGGCAAGAAATGAATCATGACTTCAGAAAGCATCTAAAACCCAAAGCAAAAACAGCTTCTCTTTTTCAAAGGCTCTCCCTTCCCCATTTACAGAGAGTGTTTTCTTCCCCCTTCTGCAGAAATGCCACATTATAAATCTATGGCAGTAAGACACGTCTGGCCATCCAGGAAGGTGCCCAGCCAGCAGAGCAGCTCAACCAACACATATTCCAACTCCATATTTTTCGTTCTTAACTTAACCATCAAATACTTTCCAATGCCAGAGAGCATTTACTGCCAGAAAGCTATTTTCTGCTTTGCACTCATCGTTCAAATAAACAAGAGAAGGAATGGAAAGGAAAGGAAAGGAAAAGGAGGTTAGCATTAGGTTCTGAAAATCCAGAAATCTGAAAAAAATTGATATGCTCTTTTTAAAAACATCCATATCTGAGCATCATATAACACGTTTTAATGGTGGTGGTGCTGGCATATTTAATTTTCTTTTTTAAACTAACAGAAAGCAGGAACTGTCCTCGATGAATCACCCATGGAATACAATGAACCAAGAACATGCTGGAGGCAAAGCTCACTTCCCCCAGAACTGGTTCTTAGTAAGAACTTTCTGGATGCCTTAGGCCCATACAGCTAACAGTCACAGTTTAATAAAACAAAACAATTTCTTCTAAATCCAAAATCCTGAAAATTTTCAATAACAGCACTTTTATCTTCAAATAATCCTCAGCATGCCTTGCAATCTTGACCTCATGCTTCATCACTGTGATTAAAATTGCCAAACTGGCAGATACTGAGAATTTGGTCAAGTGCTGAATCACATTATTCTACTATAGGACTATGAAAAAGGTGTCACAAAATTATTTATCATGCTATTGGGGCAAAGATGGAAGTTTTAGCCTCTATTCCTGTCTAGTCATCCACAGTTCTGAAGACCCAGAACAGCAAGAATAAATACAAGATCCTCTAGCCTTGCAGTACTGTGTGGATGTCCCCATGTGTCAGTGTGCCCTACATGTACTTAGTACTTACTGCTCCTCAAACTAAAGGGTTTACAAATTAGGTAGGCATTTATATCCTTTCCCAGACCACACTGCATGATTCCACATGCAAAAACGCCTTGATATTTTGTAAATCTGTGGTCATATTTGGTTTGTAAAGTTGTGGTTATGTTCAGTTTGCATTCCTGAAATAGTTTTATGACCTACACTCATCAGCAGATACAAAATGAAAAGATTCGTGAGAAAGTTCAAAACATTTTTGTGCAGCACAACTAAATATTTGTCCCTTCAATTCCATCACTTCTTTCCTTAAGGGCCCAGACAATGATCTCTAACTGAAGATCTGGCCTTCTTTTAACCTATGCTTAAATCCATTTTTCTCAACACTGACTTAACACTGGGTCTACTCTCAGGCCCACTCCTTTAAATATTTTTACATGAGGAGTTGGTGCCTTTGCTCTTCTTTGTTACACAGAAACTTTCTAGTTCAAATACCATAAATTCAATAGCAAACTTCAAGTGGCACAACGCACTGAACTCATTCATATAAAAAAGGGAAAAGGATAAAATAACTTATACATTACTATCATCACCTCGAACCATTAATTGTGGTAAGTAATTTAAAACAGGAAGGTTATCTGTCTCCACCTTGAAGAAATTTAGGACAATCCATGCTTTCCTGTTAAAAGGGGTGTTGTCCAAAACTGCTCAACAGAAGTCTGCAAAAATAATCTTTCTCCTTCTATTTGAAAAGCAGTACTTGGAGCTTTTCCCATTAAAAAAGGAAATGGGCTTGTCTGAAGTGCAAAACCTTCGTATTCTTCAAAGAATACAAACAACCAAACAACCTAAACCTTTTCTGGGGGAGTTGAGGGACGAGAAGGGAAAAGCATATAATGTGGGATGACTGGATTTTTATCTTGATGCCATAAGGAGACTCAAATACGCAGTCTGACTAATAATTGTTTAACTTAGCCTCACTAAAGTAATTAGTTTAATATATAAAACAGTTAGATGACAAAGAGACAGGAATGTTCTGGTTTTAATACAACAATGAAATGAAACTTTCCCAAATAACTCCTAATCTTTATAGATAAATCTGCTATCTAGGTTTACACTAGCAGAATACAAAATGGTTTCCTGAGATATTCTAGACAGTAACTATGTGTTATAAAGGAGCTGCTAGACAAGAGCCATTTTTTATTTTAAATTACCTCAGCCAGTCACCTCTCTGCATTCTGAGGTTTCTCTTGTTGCTATTTGTTCTCTGGTTTTAAATGCCCTGGGTGGTTTTCATCATCCTGGTTCTACTCTTCAGAAACAGAGGATGCTGCAGCCAGGAATGGAAGATGACCCCAAGCTGGGAAAGGGGCCAGCACCCAGATGGGTCCTAGAGAAATGTGCTCAACAAAAGGCTGGGTGTGTCTGCATGGGTGTCTGAGACAGAGGGTGGGTGACACGGTCCCGACTTCCAGAGCAGCAGGCAGAGCTGAGGCAGCACGGAGTGCAAAGACTCCTGACACACATCAGACTTCTCCTGAGCTCTTCCCCTCAGCTCACACATCCCTCTTTGCTAAGAATAAATGTACTTGTTTCCTGCCAGCCACCCTTTCAGCCAAAGGGAACCCCAACACATTCCCACCACTACACAGGAGAGATCATACCTTCTGCACCAGGGAAAAAAATATATATAACAGGAAAATCTTAGCAGAAGGAGACTACCTCTGCTGGGTGTAAAATGACTAAAACAAAAGCTAATGAGTGCCCAGGAAGAGGGCCAGCCATAGCTAAGAAGTATAATCTGGAATGTGGAATCAGGGGTGCTTTTGCTGCCAAACACATGTCACGAGCTGTTCCAGTGATTGTCTGTCTGCTCTTCTCCAGGAGCCAGCTAAAGGAGGCAGTCAGGTCCCTGCAAGCATCCTTCCAGTTCTGACCTGGGGACTGCAAAGCAAAGGGATTATTCCATTTGCATGGAGATTGTGCAGCAATGAAATTCTAATCTGCCAATGTATTTAGAGCTGAAACACGGCTTGCAAATAAGAATTCCAAAACATTTTAAGAGAGTCCTGCAAACAAGGACGATTTCATACATTTCATATGATTTCATAAAGACAGAGCATCATAAAAAATGAATCATAAAACCGGTGACAAAGACAACTGATTAGTTCATCATCTTCATTGCCTGCCATGGCAAAATTTTTCTCCAGAGTATATTTAAAAGCACATTCCAACAAAATTGGTTAACCCTACAACTATGTGCGATGGAGCAAGAATAAGTGGTTTCTTGCACTGAAATGGTCTAAAAATTAAGAACGAAAGAAAAAAATTAAGATCTTTCTTGCCATGGATCTCTTTTTGCTATAAAATCCCAAAATGCACAGTTCTGGGGTACTGCAGCTGCCAGAAAGTCTGTTCAGGTTGCAGAGCCAGCCCATTTCACAAGGTTATGAGAAGCATGACAGAGGACACTGAAACAGCAAAGGACTTTAAAGGACTCCAGTGAATGGGAAGTCTAAAATTTTTAGAGAGCAATATATTGATAATGATTTGGTTTAATCAACTGGTCTGACTTCTGCACTTAACTTTAACCTCTTACTCCTACTACTCACCAAAAGAGCTCTTAAAAAAACCTATAAAAATCCCTGCATTGTGTAGTGGTTCTTCCTGACCCCCTGGCCCACAGACACAGGTTACAAGTTACAGGTTACAAGTCCACCTCTTCCACCCTTTGTATGTCACTGTCTTCTTTTTGGGAATGAGAGAAGGGTCTAACACCTGGTGTATTTAATCACTTCACCAGCAAGCATCTTACTCATGCTCCTTGATTTGTTTCAACCTCCTCTGCACTGCTGTGCAAGAAAGCCTGATCTGAACAAATGGACTGAACAAGGTCTCTGCTCACAAGGGTGATGCAGGGCAGGTCTCCCCACCTTGCCCTCCAAAAACATCCCTGGGCAGGACCTCTGAGACAATCCTGCTCAAAAACATCCTTTGAGCACTTCCCATAAGGTCAGTGAAACACAGCCTGTACTCCATGGCTCCTTCCTTGGGCAAAAGCTGTAAAGGAAAGGGCCAGGTTCTGCCTGATCTCAAGTCAATGGCAGTGCAACTGCTTCTCTGAGAGAAAAAATCCACAATGCCAGATCTCTTCTCCTTGGTACATATTTGACAGAGCTCTTGTACATCTTTATTGAGTTTGCACCGGGCACAGAAATTATTTGGAGTACCCTGGAAATCCTGTAAACAAACTAGTTCGAAGATTTTGGCTTTTGTTGTGACTAAGCAAATCCAGAAGACAGGCAGCTAAAAGAAGTTAAAGGTATTTAAAAAAGAGGTATATCTGGGATATTTCTGTTGCCAACTTTCATTTATATCCCTCGACACTGTTAAATGGCAGGCATTCCAGTATGTGAAAACTACATACAGGATATGAATGTTTTTCCTAAGCATGTAAGGGGTTCACACTCTTTCTTAAAAAGAACATTCTTGCTGTCTTTGATGTTGTAAATCTTATTATGTAAAACAGACTGTTGTGTAAAATAAATGATGGCACATGATCCTGCAAGAAGCT